GGTACTAAAGGGGGTGTTAACAAATAGGGTATGATTGCCACCGCTTGCCATGCGCAATCAATTGTATCAGCAGGGATTCGAGGCTATCGCGAAACAAAACCTCGTTCCCGCAGATTTAGCCCTTTACAGCGACCACACCCTTTGCAACAGCAACCAATTAAACACGAGGTGCTAATTCACAGCCCAGAACCCGCTGCGATGACTCAACTCGAACTTAGGTACTTGGCTAAAAACCTTCGACTCCAATGATCCGCCTGTATGTATCACGAACCAAAAGAACCGGACTTTGGCGAGACCTACTTGGTGGTTCAGCGCGAAATCGGAGTAACGCAATCTATACGCGATTGTGCCTCGCTGGATGTTGGACGTGAAAATTTTCAATAGGTCATACCGAGATTTCATCTCCTCGAAGGAAATTCTTTGGGAAATGCCTAGACAGACACCACCAGCTAAGGATGACTAGGTGGTATGGACCGGTACGAAAAGAGCACTATCTGAGCTCGTAGGACCAATCTCTACATCGTATGCAAGGCGCCTCCGGGGAGGGACGAAGTCAAGGGCCGAGGAGGACAGGCGCCCGTATACCCTCAGATCAAAATCTCATGATGGTCACATCGGTAATCTGGCCTCTATGAATACATTAATTACCGCGCGCATTATTAGAAGCCGCCATTCTATCCGTCTATACTATGTAATATTCCATCCATTGGAGGGGAGGGAAGGGAAGGGGAGAGAGGTTCATATTGCAGTCAACTATGTATGAGGTAGGTAACTCTGTATGCACTCCGCTTTCTTCCGGCGATTCCACCCGGCACCTAATTGGTTTCTATCATGTTGTAGTGGATCATGGCGTCTACTGGCTAGTACCTACATAGGTGAGGTATGTATTGGACATCTTCATACGTCCGGTATATTCCATCGTAGTAGAGAATTCTGAATAGCTGCGTTAGGACATACATATATGTAACAACTCACGGGCGCAAACTCTACATTTACTCGTCAGCCAGCAGCCTCGTAGATAAGCATCTGCTTTATGGATGACCAGAATCTTTCGGCGCAACATGGTTCCTGACCCGACAGCAACACATGATCACATGCCACGCGCTCAACCACATGCTCAACCACGCGCACATACTAAATCGAGACTTCTAGCTCCACTAGAAACGAGCATACGTATAGTAGTGTGTATACCATATATTGGTTACTGGTGGTTACTAGTGTAATGAGGTATGTAGTGTAGGTACTCTTTAAGATACAAAACATCACGATGCGTCGTGTTCTCTTCAAGACGAGGGAGTTATTTAGCCCCGCCTCCTTAGGACGTATCCGATTTATGTCCTAGCCACTTACATACCTACCTAGGTATTCAGTAGAAATACCCAATAGAAATCCGTCAGCACGAGTAAATTACAGTTTACATCCTGCACCACCCAATCCCACCTACCTCTAAGACCTCCTATGTATGTACCTAACCTAGATATGTAGCAGAATGCCGCCAAAAATAAAAACATGCCCCATACTGCGGTGGCTAGTATGGGGTATCTTTTTTTTTGACGCTATTCTGTGTAGGTAGGTAGCTATGCTTTATGGAGGGGTTGATCTGGTTAGGTTAGTAATTTATAGGAGGCACTTTACTCTTCCAAGATCTATAGTGTACTTATACCAGCAAAGGTAGGCAACATCTCCGAGACATTTTCTTCATATTCATCGCCAGCGTGCGAAACCTAGCTTCAGCTGGTAATACATATGTGTTCGTGCTACCCCTGTATGTAATACGTATTACATCCCGAGGCTTTGACAGAGGCTCAGTCTGTGAGTCTATCGATTACCTATGTATCTTCGTCGTCTCCGTCTCCGTCTCCGTGCGTCCCCCGCATTACATACTAGAATATGTAATTGACTTGCAGGCAGCCCAGATACGAATAGCCGGATTATGGAGAAGCACTGCCATCATTACAAAGCAGACAATTGCGCGTTCGCAGTTCCCAACTTCTTCTTTGCCCCGGTTTCTGCTTCTTATCACGAGCAGTCTAAGCTAAGATCCATATAAGACGAAACGAGACGAGACAAGATACAACTTAAATCTTCGTATGTATCTTCGTCATCCGTGAGGCTTGGACCCCGACAGCTCCCTCTCTCTCAGTTGATGGTATCCACAACAAACTGACAAACCAGAAGGCGAGCCAAGGTTCGGGGACTACGGGCAGTTCGACGTCCCAACATTTCCATATTTTCGGCCACTAACAAGCGCCGTAGGCCGTGTGGATTATTATTCCGTAGTTTTAAAGAGATTGATTTGCACTTCAGCGAGCGATGGGGGCCGATCTAGATGAGAAATAATACGGAGATTTGATTTTCGCACCCCCGGAAAGCCGAGCTTTATTAGACTGTAATATAGTTACGTACAATATGTACCTTTTGCTTAATGCCGCCTATCAATGCGAGGCGTTGGTCAGCAACATTAGAATCGTCAAACAGGTAGGTATGTAATATGGCACCTGATTGAGATGGACGCTTTGGGATTTGACGATTCCCTATTGATACACGTTATAACCCTATAAGGCAATGGGAAGGTAGCTAATCAAACTTGCAGCATTAATGTGTGAGTGATCTGTCAGCCAGCAATCCCTCCAGTCTTCCGACCTAAGCTACCTACATACCTACATAGAGAAAGCTCTATGTGCATATTCGGACAAGTGTCTGAACAGGTAATGCGATCCTTCCTTTTTCCAAGAACCCTTTGACGTCCGGCTATGCTCTTCTCGTCTATTCTGGAACCCTTCCGTAACTTATTAGCGTCGCAAAAAGACAATAAGAAGAACCATTGCGACGAAGTCTTGCGACGCCAAAGTTGCGATCCTAACTCCCCGCCAGCCCCCCGCTTGTCAGACGAATGATGGCCAGTCTGTACCATGTATTACATAGTAAGCCTCAGTACTACACTACGTCTATTTGACATACGGCTGTAGTTCTGAGACGAAATGCCTAAGGACAACAATCCAGGTGACCCTCCTAGGCAGCAGCGAAGCATCTTGTTCCTACATTGGGAGACCCGAGACCTGTTTATTGGATGGATGTAAAGGATTTTAAGCCGTCTAAGGGCTGAGCCCTACGTAGTAAATATTTATTGGCCTACCTCCTCACGTAATGTAGTATTTCCCCTATATTCCAGACAGCTGAGACAATTGCATATAACAGTCATCTCGGTGAATGTCCTTCCACTACATCGCAAGTCGTGCTGAAAACAAGAGCAGTAATTGGTACCTATACATGATTGAATTTGTTGTGGTGTGACTGTGATCGTGATCCTATCATGATGTTGCTGTGGGATGATATCAGTCACTTCAATGGCGTAACAATAACACCGTGTACGAAGTTGAGTAATAGCGAGCCGCTTGTATTAGACGGAATACACGGCTGTGAAGTGACATTGCGTTGGTCAGCGAGTAGTTACAGTGTGAGGAATACCCAAACATCACCGCCCTCTGCTTACACATGTACAGGTTGCCCGGCTGTACACTAGACCAGTGGTCAGCCTCCCAAAATATCACTAGTAGCGTCATATGAGCGAGTAGGCTATCCTATCCATAGTACGTATACCCCATATCGGATCGCCAAGATATCAGTAAATCCGTAAGGCAAGGGACAAGCAAAAAAGGGCGATAAGATGCGAAATTTTCAGCCCCGAAGTCCTCAGCCTTGTTCCATTCAGAGCGTATTTCGGCTTGATCCTCCCATAGAAGCCGAGGCTCCGAAGTCAATACCGCCGTGAAGGCAACTATAACACGACCAGGGCCGATCACAAAGCTCTAGGTACCTACCTACCTAGGCATATAGGAACACTAAGGGGTCCCGACGGCAAGTAATCGTATACGTAGAGACACGACACGCCCGCGCGAAACCACATGATGCCGAAAATATGCGGGGAAGTGTGCCGCAAGGGTCAACCGTCCTTCCGCGAGGCGCTTCGCAAAGCCCCCTTTATACTTCGGCCCCCACCAGTAAGCCGATAGGCGGTATCAAAAATACCCTCTAGCGCGTGAACAATATAACACGGTCTCGGCTTTAAGAGGGTATTGCAGCTTGCTCGCGGTCAAAGTTAGCGCGCTTACGGAGGCGAAGGACAAGTCAAAAATATAGTTATATAAGTGATTAACTAGATCTATAGGCTATCGAGGTTTGCGGGGAAGATCTCTTGACTGGAAAAGCCTCTTAAACAGCCATCGTGATCGCGTGGTCAGCATATACCTACATACTAACCTGGGATCGTGTCTAGGAACTGGAGACAAGCAAGTAACATGGATCCGCCTGGGGCGATGAAAATAAAGCTTGCTGCCTAGAAGTAGTCCGTACGTCGAAAATTTTCTTTTAAAACGTTAGGCAATCTGACTTTTACCTTCCCTTGTGATCTAGATAATTCCATATCGCATCCTTGAGGCAATGTATCCTTGGACGAGTAAACACATCTGTTCATCCGTGACTCGATACCGTTGGCGGGACAAGGGGTTTATACCAGGAGGATTCCTCGGGCCGAGAGCTGATGATGTTGGTGTTGGAGGTGGCAGCTTGTTTTGGGTTGGATGTTAAAACACATACCGGCGATGACTCACCAACTGACGATATCAAACCAGCACGGATTCCTAACAGGACATAGCTAACCTATCCTTGTGTATGGACTTCGTTCTGAGCGCTAGGACTTGAGTCATCGAGGCCACGCGGTCATGAGCTACGAAGTATAGAAATATCCATTCAAGGCATCAACTAATTAGAATTTACAAAAATACATGGGAATATAGTACGAGTACACGGAATGGATGTACATACATAACTTAGGCATCTCTAGTTTCCTATGGCTATTTTGTTCAGATGTCGTAGCAGATCTTCGCGATCTAATCCACCCCCAGTTCCCCAGAAACACCAACTGTCGTTCCAAGGGAGCAGGCAAATTAGGCGCATAGATCAGATGATAAAGGCCTATTGGGAGCACCTGCAGCATTAATTCAAGCAGGACGCCATTCGTAGTGGTGAGCCCCTTTTGAAGGCTTTCCAGGATCCTCTCCTATCACATTCGGCCTGTCGTAAGCGTGTGCACTGAAGAAATCCATCTCCGCCTCCATGAACTGGGTTGCCAGCATCCTTGAGCTCACATACTTTACATACTCCAGACTGGCGCTGATAGAAGGAACATAGTTGTCCCATTCGATAGCCTTCAACGTAATCTGCTTCAGCGCGTCGAAGTTCTTTTGTAAATCGGTAGCTACCTCGTCGATGAGTTTCATGTTCATGATGGGCTCTTTCGCGTTGAGTAGGATCGGTTCGAGCATATCGGCGATATAATCTTCTTGGATGATACAACCAGCTCTCCAGATCTGTATGCACTTGCCTAAATTGACATTCCAGCCTTCGTCCTTGGACGCCCTCCATAACTATCTAGAACAAGGTACCCTCCGAGCCATCGTCGTCCTGCACGACTTTATCAAGAACATCATCCAAGACATACCCGCTCTCTCCTTTTCCTTCTCCTTTCTGATCACCTTTAGGGGTCTTTTTCCTTTGGCAGATCTCCGACCCGATCTGTATTAAATAGGTGTTCTTGAGCTCGCCCTCGGAATTCCACGCTTCGCAGACGGTGGAAAGCATGCCGTTCTCGATGCCATTATGGACCATTTTCACATAGTGGCCGGATCCGCGAGGACCTACGCATGATGGATTCTGCATTTAAAAGTGCCCTGGCAGATAGTCTTATATAAACAGACAAGCTGTTACCTACCTATATATTGAACGCACGGCTTGCCGTCAACCGGGGACTTGGCGGAGAATTTCTCTAAAAGGGGAAGGACAAACTCTATGATCCCTGACTATCTTCGACCAATAGAATCCCGACCGAAGACCGGTACATACTCCTTTATGTTTAAACAAGATCAAGCTGTTCCTAAACATGGGAGGTTTATATACGTTAATGTCGTACGAATTCAATATTCGACATACAAAGATGAAAACTGAGGGTCCAGTACTCAAGGATAGCAGAAAAGAGGTAAGAGAAGAAAGAAAAAAGAAAAACATACAACACCGGGGATTCGCTGGTCGTCACCGACCCAACTACTAATCCGGCGATATCCGGTTTATCAAGGGGAGAGCGGACGGGATCCCGAGTTTTCCAGATTCTATGGTCGTATGTAAAGGTTTCCGGCGTTATTGATCTTTATATAATGAATGACCTTTGACGCAATTGTTTTCATAGCCTGCCCGGAGCAAAGTGTTCCATAGGTATGCAACACTACATGTCATCCGTACCTACTATCATTTATCCCTAAGTCTTTGTTTCTGCCAACGCAGAATACATTAGCAAACCATTTGGCTGCTTTCGAAACCTAATCGTCAATTTCTTAATTACGGCTAAAGTGCTAATAAATATGAGCCGTTTTATTTTTGGAAAGATGCTGTCGAAAGGCAGAACCCACGCTAAAATTGTCGTCATTTTTTTTTTTAAGAAAGCAAGCAAAGCATTAAAAGGTGTTTTATATCTCTTGACTCCCTAAAGTATAATAATAGTATACAGCAAATATTTCCTTTCGTTAAAGCCCCCAAACGATCTGGTTCAGAAGCAAAACTTTGTTTGCATCTGGAAATCAGGTTCTCAGTCCACTATTCCGCCTCGATTATGAATTTTGAGAAACCTGCTGCTTAACTGGTTGTATGATGCGTCATGCCATATATTCCCGTTGCCCCGGTCCTAATTCTACTGGCGATGATTGGCCTGGCATCTCAGAACATTCTGTATTGTAGTAGGGCCACTGTGCCAGCCTAGCAGATGCACTTCTATCGCTACAAGTATGTCCTGACATTGTATCTGTTGGCTGCAAGTTCCCGTCTGGCGGTAGAGTATTTTCCGCCGTCTTTATATCCTCTTCATGACACTTTCTCCGGCGTCTCCACAAGAGAAATACCCTAGCAAGTATACAAGTGAAAGCGGCCACCCATCTAATCTCAACCCTCGACCGAATGTCCATCAGGATATACAAAGGCATGTCAGCATGCAGAGACCTCAGAGATGACCGCGACGTGCTGTCCTACGCATGTCATTTCTAATACTCGCTCCTAGAACTTCGCGAAAGTATAGAGTTAATATAAGGCAATGGATGTAGTGGTTACAACTGCCAAAGCAGCAATCTTCAAGACCCTGCATACCGGAGCACTGAACCATGCTACCAACATATGGACACTAGATTAATAAATGTAGGTATATACAACGAAGACTGCTGGGAGACCTTCCGAGACGTCGACTATAACTGGAGAAGCACTAGGCGGGATATAAAAGAGCCTGGTATGGGCTGCCAGCCTGTGGGGAAACAATCCGAAGTACTTGTTGGCGGGCCTAGATGGTAATACCGACAATCTAAAGTGCTACCGTCAAAACCGGTGCATGCATCAACACTATTGATGATATAGTAAATGTCATCGGTGCAGTATGATTCTGGCGTAAAAGGCGCATTTGTGTCTGATATTGCCATGGTGATTGCTGGGAACGAGGCGTAAACCGAAGAGAACTAGAAAAATGGAAGGAGGGGGTTCCGCACTGATATTACCCGACTTGAGTCAAGACCTGCTTGTAGATATTTGGTGGCTTAAGAGGGCGTAGCATTTGTGACACGATCTAGTAGACTTGGTCAGCGTAAAAGTGTGAGGGAATCCTGCAACATTATCTCGCAATATCTCGTAGGGGCGTAAACCCCCTTTTGGTCCTAGACCATGCTTAATCATGTTCCTGTGAGAGCAGTTACGCAGTGTAAAATGTAACATGTATCGTACTAGTTTCATCATACCAGTCTATTCATTGCGAAACCTGAGACTACGGACTATGGCCGTGTATGAAATTGCTAATTAGGAGCCCAACATGAGCTACGATATGCTCAAAGCACCTAACTACTGACCCTTAGTCTTCCCCGAGGGCGTGCTTGTCGCTCGTTGCAAGCTGAGAGTATAATGTACAGAAAGCCTTAATGCCTGATGAATCCTTTACTTTTCGGAAATATCCCATTTTCTGAGACTAACGGGCGTACACACGTCAACTTCACCAAATCGACCCAAAATCAAGCCGTAGGCGGAAATAAAGGAAATCGATCGAGAACGCGAGAGAATTTAAGATGCCATGTACGTGCTAGCATCAATGCCGTCCTTAGGGAATTCACTATATAATAAATTAGCTGAATAGCTAGGACTGCTAGAACCGGACAACTTACGGAAGGGCGACTTCGAATCGCTTCTCAATTGACTTCAGCACTTCTTGGTCTGCATCAGTGCTTACAAACGAGATTGCAAGTCCCTTGGTACCAAATCGGCCGGCACGACCAACGCGGTGTAGGTAAGAATCAGCATCGGCAGGCAAATCATAGTTGATAGCCAGGTTGATACGTTCAATATCAATGCCTCGACCAAACACATCAGTAGCGACACAGATGCGCTTGTTAAATTCCTTGAACTCCTTGTAGCGTTTGATACTATATTCTCGTTAGATCATGTAATTGATGAAGACAATTCTATAACGTACCGCTCTTCCTGGCTGACTCCCGAGTGTACTGCAATAGATGGGAAGTTACATTCGCGAAGCAACTTGTCGAGTTCGGTGGCACGGATCGTGCTCTTGACGAAGATGATGACCTGGTTGAATTGCAACTCATCAAGAAGCTCGTTAAGTTTACGGTTCTTCTCTTGTTCCTTAAGCTTGACGTAATATTGCTGCAAGCCGTGAAGAGTCAATTTAGTGTCCTCATCTACGTAGTGTTCGGTAGGGTTCTGCATGAACTTCTTGCAGATCGGCTTCACTTCGTCGGAAAGCGTGGCGGAGAACATCATAACCTGCTTTTGCTGCGGAGTTGCTCGGAAAATATCCTGAACATCTCGTCGCATATCTTATGCAGTTAGTTATAAAAATGCTGACAATAAAGCGTTTGTGTTCTTACCAATAGCGTCAAGCATCTTGTCACATTCATCAAGAACGAAGATTCGAACGCTGGTCAGGCGAAGGTACTTGTCTCGAACAAGAGCGTTGAGACGACCTGGGGTGCCAACAATAATATGGGGATGGGTTTCCTTGTTCTTGAGGATTTCGGCATCCTTCTGAATAGGCGTACCGCCGTAGAAGACACCGGTCTTAATATCCGGCATATACTTGCTGAAACGATTGTACTCGTTTCGAATCTGGAAGGCCAGCTCGCGGGTATGGCACATGACCAAGACGGAACACTCGCCAGCAACAGGTTCGACCTGTTGGAGGGTAGTGAGAACGAACACAGCCGTCTTACCGAGACCCGACTTTGCCTGGCAGATAATATCACCTCCGAGGAGAGCCTGGGGAATACAGGTTTGCTGGACTATAGTAATCGATCGAATGTTAGATAGGACTTCCAAGATTTTAGGGATGCGAAGGTAGAAATTCGACAAGATCCGTCCATCATCGCAGCATCGGTCTTCTAGTATCTAGATCCACCACCAATGGCCTTTTCGACTGTTCCATCTATACGTAGATAAAAAGGGTACGCGTATCACAGCACCAGCTTTCTACAACGTATACATCGGCTCGAGGCCAGATTTACTCAACTGTCGTCGAGATCAGGCAGCTAGGGTTCATCGCCCCAATACATTTCCCAGGCGAGATACGTTGCGTGAACCCATCGCCAGCTACCGAGACTGACGCGATAAGCACAAGTCTCTTAAGCTCTTAGGGCACTCTGATAGGATAGTTCCTATAGATCCTCGCTCCACAGACATCGAAAAACATAGCTATGCGTGATTTTACGCGTGCTGATCTTCCGCTTCTCCGACCGCCTTTGTTTTCTTTATTTGCTTGCGATGTACTTGCGAGATGGACGGACGCTTGAAGGAGGGATAACTTTTCAAAAGCTTGAACGTGTAAGATGTAGACTAACCCTCCGATGGATGTTCGAAACCGCAATCGGCGATGGCGCGAAGAAGCTCAGGCTTCAGCAGGAAATCACGGAAACCGGTAGCATGGATGCCGACATAGGATCCCTTCTTGTCAACACTATTGCCTGAAGCGGCAGCGTCGGTCTTCTTGCCGTTGGTGGCGGTGGTAGCCTCGTTTGTTGCCAGCTCCTCGTCGGAATAGTCGATCAGATCCTCTTCAGCCGACATGGTGATGGAATGGTAAGACTATCGCGATGGATACGTGTCGCAAGGTTTGGTAGATTAAAAAGGGACGTAAGTTAAATGAAAAATTGAGAGTAAAGAAAAATGCCTTCAGAGTTGATGAAAAGGGGGAAAACTCGAGACGCAATGGATGCCTTTGATGGCAGATGCGAGAAGGCGGTGCAGCGAGGCTCTCGACGTTGAAAGGTTGAAAGGTTGAATGGAGAAAGAAAGTTGTTGTTAGGAAAGGCTGGAAAGACTGGAAAGACGGTCCAGAAAAATAGAAATCGACATGCATGAGCTGATGGAATGCGCGACCTCAACTGCAGAAGCTAAGCTAAATTAGTATTAGTGGGTAAATGATGGGGCTGTGCACTCAACTATTGGCTGACTGGTGTTGTGCGGCTAAACACCGGTAGGGCTGCCCCGGATTTTTACCATTTCCGCTTTCCCCAATCTGCCACCTGCATCTGCCACCTGCATCTGCCACCTGCATCTGCACCGGTTCTCATATGGATGCACTTCGCACTTCATCATCTGGGTACCTATGTACCTATCTCACATCAAACACATTCCAGCAACTGTTTTCTTTGTGTTTTGAATCATACAAGAATAAATCATACGTGGAAGTTTTTAGGGACAACTAGGGACAACTAGGGATAGCTAAGACATGGGGAAATCCAAAGCACCTGGAAACGTGCCAAATCGACCAGTCTATTCTCGAATCTCCTATTTATATCAAGCAGCAACATATCTAGCTAGCCAACCTAAGGATATCACAAACGATACAGTAGCAACACAAGACAAGAAAACCCTTTACTCAAGCAAGTCTAACCATGGACTTTCACGTCGCTTTATAACCGACCTCCGGTCTGCCTCGTTAAAGAGTCAAATACGTCTTTCTCCAGCCATGAAGCATACTATCTGCAAATTCTGCGATAGTTTGCTTATCGAAGGAGACACCAGTAGCTCATCAATTGAGAACAAGAGTAAAGGCGGTAAAAAGCCATGGGCCGACGTTCTCGTCGTTAAATGCTACGCCTGTGGAGGGGTCAAGCGTTTCCCTGTCCAAGCACCTCGACAAAAACGGCGACCAATTCGTGAAGTAAACTCGAAGAAGGAAACTAATCAGAGTTTGGAAGCCGGCAATCTAAGAGAAGGGTCTTGAGCAGCAGCAAGATCCTGTACTTTATCTCTCTACAGGATGTGCCTATAACAGGTACCTATCAATTCAGCCCATAAGTCAAACCACCCTTACTGGGGCCACCCTAGTGGGGGCCACCCATTTCCCATACAAAATCAACGATTTCGCATATCTGTATTTAATTCAAGAAAATAGATAAAATTATACAGTCTTTGATTTTGAGTACGGTATTGGATTTTCACCAGGTATAAAATTTTGAAAAAATGGCAGGGCTAATATCTGTGGTGAAATGAATACAAGAGTATACACTAACAATTACACATACAAATTTATATGCAAAGCTATTAAGGGATATTATTGCTTATAACTTTACCAATTAATATGGTATAAATGTAGAATCTATATCGTTAAATAAGGGACGTTTTAATACAACTTTTAAATCTAGGGCCAATTATATAACTTATTTATCTAAGAAGTTATAAGCGTTTATAAGGTTTTATGGTAATTTAATGAAATTTCCATATAAAATTAAAATTTTCAAAATTTTCAAAATAACATTAAAAATACACTTTATTATTTTACTATCAAAACATTAGATTTTAAATATGATAAAATGTACTGTAGGAAGGACCAGGTATAGGTAATAATTAGGTAAGGATTAGGTGTACACCAATAAGCGTACGGCAAAGGAAAGGGAACACACGGTACTGAAATGAGGCTATCACGATCTGTTGTTGCTTGTTGTTGAGTTGTGTGTGTGTGGGTTAGCCTAAAAGGTAAACCCTTTTAGGCTTAGCCCCACGCACGTTGTGGCACGTGACTAGATTACATAATTGGCTATTCCCCATATTCCAACATGTACATAAGCTATTATAATAATCGCAAAGTAAAACATAAGATATTATCTATTTTTATCTATTTTCTTGAATTAATTATAGACATGCGAAGTTGTTGATTTTGTATGGGAAATGGGTGGCCCCCACTAGGGTGGCCCCAGTAAGGGTGGTTTGACTTATTGGAACAAGCGAGTTCTTCTAGCTGATTCAAATAATACAAGGACGCTTCTAGAGGAAGTAAGGTTTTTCCCCCTGGTATCTTCGAATATACATCGTCTCTTCCGCACCTCGGGCAGAAAAAAAAAGATGTAATATCGATAACCCTCCAATATTATACGTACCAACCATTGGGATACGAGTACCATTAGGTTACAAGATAACAGAACCCTGTAAGGAAACCCTCTGCCACGGGAAACGATACCATGGAAAATATTAGAATAAATGTTGGGTGCTTGAATCCGACTCCCAGGGGAGGTCCTTGTTACTCTGGTCTACGTTATTAACAGAATCATACCTATCGGGAACAGGGAACTAGTAAAAGCTCGATCTGTCAGGATTCTAGATGAGACATCTAGAACAAAGGACATGTTCAGTATGTATAGACACGGACTCTCGTAGATAGATTAGAGTTCCTCGCGGAACAACGAAGTTGTTTCCCTACTGTTTAGTTCCACCTCGTGATACGATCTATTAACAAGTTTACAAATACCTCGCGAACGGGTAAAAGGTCATACGTAGAATCTCTATTGCATCACCGTGCATGGCGTTTTCCGATCACCTTATCATTCAATAGCCAATCTAACGCAATTCGGAAAATCTGTTGTCGTATCACTACTCCGCAGAACAGTCTGGGACCTGAAATACCATTTGATGAATCCTTAGGAATCCTCTCAAGTGTCCTGAGCAAGTGGAGACTCAACATAAGATTTACACTCGCCATGAATGCCTCGAAATCTACGACAAAACGGCTCACGAGTATGTTAGTAGTCACAATGGTTTAAAGGTCAAGACCGCGGCGGCTAAATGAAATGCTATCGTAGAATCCGTGCTGTGGGAGGTGTGATGAGTTAAAGAGAAGAAGAAAGTGAGAGTATCTTCAACGAACATACGCTACCTACATCTAGTTAAAGCTCTTGTGGGGTGGAGCTATCAGATGCTTATGAGTGTATAGCCTCTTATTAGGTAGTTCTCATGCAGGGACGGAATCCTATATTTTAGATACCCACTAAAATAGCGCAATGGTAAAGCACGAGGCGTTTACTTATTTTCGAACTACGAAGCACCATCTTGTAGATAATGAGCGAGGTCGTAAAGATGTTGTATTCCGTATATAGTATATAGCGAGCCATTACTCCTCCTTTAATTTCACCTCCCATGGTCAGCTTCTGCGACAGGCCGTATAAGAACTCGTACTTCTGATGATATGCAGCATATATATAGGAGGCAGGTATGCCATCCGTCTTCTATAAACCAAGTGCTACCTCGACTCAATGCTCACTTAAACATCCCCGACTACCTAGTTGGAATACCAAGGAACGGCGGCCGCCCTATGCCACGGAAAGCGGTGTAGATGGGATCCGACTAATGTAGATTGCGACGCTGACTCCTCATGTCGAGGGGGTAAATCAGTCCACAGTGGGGCCATTCTCACGGGCGTTCCCGCCGGGAGCCGAGTTGAGTAAGTTGATTATTGTTGCTAATGACAAGGTTCCCATTATACCAAAAGCAGCGACGGCAGAAAAATCCACGTAGTTGATTCCGGGATAAGAGGTAACTGAGTCGAACAGGAAAATCATGGTCAATATTTTGAGATTGAACTGTAGATATGACCGGTGTTATGTAGACAGTTGTTAGGATAGCAAGATTGGGTATATGCTTTAATAGCCGACAACTGATATAGCTCGCAAAGATACTATCTCGGGTGATATAATAAAGGGCTTGACTTGGCCAACTGTTTAAAGAAAAAGAAATAAAAGTTACAGGACGTATCAATATATCCTGTCGGCCTCGAAGCCACTTATATATTGTTGCGCTGCCATAGTACATGTGAACCATGCTCGCTCTCCTAACCCATAGAGGTGGGCTTGCAGTTTCACACATACCGCGCGTGCATTTACCTAGGCCCGTATCTCTCCGCACCTTGGAGTAGAGTGTAACCTACAAACTGTTACTTTCTCCGCGCCACTCTTTGTGTATACGATACACAGCTCATGCAAGCCCAGAAGCGAGTAACGATATCAAAAAGGCGCGAAGTACACGGTTTTGTCTTTGGAGTATACTAATAAGTATTATAAACGACGGGAGTTTAATAGACTATGCCGTACTGATTCCAAACAGAATTAAGACTTGAGTGTAGGATTGTTCTCCGGGTCGATGATTTGTTCATGCCAATCTCTTGGACCAGTACAGAAATCATGGTTGCTGTAATTATCTACAACCTTAGCTATATCTTAGTAGACACCATATTCTTACACATTAAAGAAGGCAAGGGTATGTTTGTCGTCGTAGATGAGGGCGGTCGTTTTGAAGCGCTACTTGATAAAGGTGTAGGTTAATCACTAGCAATATGTGCACCACACACACGAAACCCCATCTGATAGGATCAATGATTTACTCGATGCTAGATATAATGAGGTGTTATCTAAGTGCCAGGGGCTTCCCGTGCTATGCCCATTTAGTATCAAGCAATGAGACCTGCTAACTACCTTTCCCACCCCAGCAACCTCCGATGTGTGCTCCGAACGGCAGTAGGTATCATCCGCTTGGTATACTCCGCGCCGGATGTGGGGACGTCATTGCGCCAAACAATATCCGTGGATTATCGTACTGCTATCAGCGGAAAGTCCTTGGTCATACTCGATAGCGACGAGAGTAGGACCAATCTTCCTGACGATACGCCTTTATCTGTCTTATTTCTATCTTTCGTACTATGGAGATGGCTGATTAGTATTGTCAAAATTAGATGCTAATAGGGGTTGTACATAGAAATGGAAAAGCTCCGACGGAAATCGACCTAACTGTCTTATACACCTGGTTTTCAAGTGTGGCTTCACATAAAGTCAAGGGGTAAACCCTTTAAAATTATTCGAGAAGTTAGGTCGTTATGCTGACATGAATAAAACCAGGCCCTACCTTCGGCATATGTAGGGCTTACAGAACATTGGTTCGCGCCAAGATAGAAATAACTATGGGCACCCCATACTCTTTAGGATATGACAAGACGTACCTCACTCAATCTAGCTACTGGTAGTCAGCATGTAGGTCCCCAAGCCGGTTTAAACAGATTACACAATCGTAGGTTTGCTATGATTACCTAGATCCTGCTGCAATATATCATTGCGCTAATTGGACAACAGATTGGATCATGTCCCTGCATAAAATGCAGCAACGGACTTTCTCCCGATGTACTAAAAGACTACGCATTAATCCTTATGCCATTATAAAAACACTGATTGGTTTAAACCGAGGTTTCTTTCATGGGGTTACCTTATACCAATCCTCAGTTGATTTATAACTGGCTAAGCTAGAAAATTACGGAACCTGTGCTATGTCGTGTCTTGGCGCTTAGTGCAAGGATGGGAATATAGCTCTGTTAGATCTTGTCATAATAGTAGTATGAACCCATAAATAGTTACTAGCGAAGCAACTGAATACTGCCTTAAGTATTCTTTAACACGTCAACGCTGTAGAACTAGACAAGCGTAATAAAAAATAAAAAAAAGAGGCGACCTCTATCTAGCTTTTGAAGAGTTAGTTATATCTAACGCTTATATTCTTGTATATAAACATTTATTCTTAGCTACTTGAGTTTCAACTAGTCTGTTCTTCACTTAATTTCAGCAAATCACCAGCTTGGAATGAATTCACCTGCGTACATGTAGATTCTTTATTCATCACTATACATATACCTAGGTACCCAAGGGTTACTACCGCTCAACTACCTATGCTATATCCGCCTAGGTTATAACTAACATGTACATAAGAAATGTATTTCTCATAATTTTGGCTACCATCCCGTAGGCAATACTCCTATATATTTACGTGTTCATAGGAATGCTACCGGGGTATCGTTCACCAGCTGTCTTGAACTTGGACAAGGTAGCGTCGATCTCGGCCATCTCTTCATCCGTGATGTCTACGAGCTTGCTATTTTCCTTCACCCGCGCCGCCGTCGTAGCACCGGGAATCGGGATAATAGTCGGCATCCCGGGGCGCTTCGATATCGCCAGGGTCCAGTTGATGGCGAGCTGAGCTGGTGTGCAGCCTTTCTTCTTGGCCAGCTCCTCGACCTGGCGGACCAGCTCCAGGTTGGTCTCGAAGTTCCCCGGCTGAAACCGAGGAAAGAAGCGCAGCATTGAATCTTCCGGGATGTCTTCGATTTTTTTGATCTGACCCGTCAACATACCCCTGCCGATCGGCGAGTATGCGATCATTGGAATCCCATACTGGGCACAGGCGGCTGCTACACCATTCTCCAGTACGTCGGTTGAGAACCTATTACATGGTTAGCAGGAAGAATAGCTGTCTAGCGCAACTGGACTTGTTGGGTCCATGACTTACAGCGAGAGTTCCACTTCTACGGCGTGGACTTTAGTGTGCTTGACAGCTTCGTGGATCGTCTCGGCTCGCACTTCTGACAAAGAGATGCCTCCGATCTTGCCTGTCTGGACGAACTCCTTATTCATAACATCTAAAGTGACTTCCATCGGTACCTTCTGATCCCGGCGAGCAAACTCGAACAATTCCATCTTCTTACGTCCCTTGAGCTGGGCTATGCTGTCGTTGATAGAGCGGCGCGTGTTCTCGGGTGAGCCGTCTGTATGGTGAGTTGTAGGGCTCACGCCACCCTTAATGGAGATGACCACCTTCTCGGCGTCTTCAGGGTACTTTTCAAAGTATCTTTCTAGGAGCACTAAACTATTGTAGTCGGGCGCACCATAGATCTCGCCGCCGTTCCAAAGGTTACCTGGTATAGCAATTATTAGCTACTGATAATAAATAGTGAGAATTACCTAGCGATCAGCGCGTCATGAGTTGGAGGTTGGCCACATACATCCATTTTTGAGTGCTGTACGCATTGCCTCAAAAGCTTGCTCTTGGGGGCATGGGTGGGCTCGCCAGGTCAATCCCATGAGGCCAAAGCCAACAGGGCCTACTTCTTTGCCAACGACTTGGGGCATATTTTATTATGTATTAGGTGTATATTTGGAAATGTTTGATTGAGTTTTAAATTCTGAAAAAGAAGAATGCGATGTCCCTAGGATGGTCGATGTCGTTGTTTGCTCAAACGCAGTGGTCGTGATCTGTGACGACGTTTATATTCGCGATCTGCCCTGCTTAATGTTTACGTCACTACCTAGTTACTAACACTAGGTATTCACCTATCACCTATTGTAAGGTCGCGGTAAAACACCAGGCCTTAACGGCTTTTATGCATTTCAGTGCTTTAATTCCGGACAGGAGGAGAACCCATGTATAGTAAGGGGCTTAATCATTAGGAGGTAACCCTCTGCGTCGTAACAATAATTGCCTTTTCAAGCTTGCGTAGGATGTTAGAAGTCGTTGGTTTTAGGAACGGATTTTGCAGTACTATGTAGTAGCACTATATCCATATTAGACGACATCTAGATCTAGTCGGATCTAATGCTAATCTAGTTATTGGTTGTGTCCTATAGCCCCTCCTCCGCATACGTACCTCCTAAGCTGCCTGATAATAGCATAAAGTCTAGGAACAATGACGTGCATGAAGCTAGCGTACATGTAAATAATCATCTAAATATGTATATCTAACCTATTTTATAAGCTGCTGAAAGTTTTCCCACGTGTAAAGCAAGGATGTATACACGATCTTGGTATCGACCATGGATATAGCTAACCCCGCGGAACCCGTTCACGGTAAGCATCGGAAATCGATGACCGAATCGAGTTAATCCCGAACTTACCAGGACATATAAAAGTGAGTACCGCGCCAAGCACCGGCGCTACACAAGCAGATCGCCAATCACGCTGGCCTCGGCACGGCTCAGATCTTTGGCGATACCCCCCTGATAACATATTGGATTTCCCAACGACAGGCGTAACACCCACCACTATAGCGTAGGTAGTCAATACATGTATATGATAATATAATAGAGAATGTTATGAACGATAGTTGTGTGTCTACGCAATTACAATGTGAAAGGGCTAAAAAAGGGGGAGGGGAAAGAAAAGAAAAAAGGGGCAAAACGTACAACACCAGGGATTCGCTGGTCGTCACCGACCCAACTACTAATCTGGCAGTATCTAGTTTATCGAAAGGGAGAGCGGACGGGATCCCGAGTTTTCCGGATCTTATGGTCGTACGTGATAGTATGTACAGCTTTTTCAGACTATATTTACTTGCCCAGCTCGTTACTGGTGACCTTGGAAACATATTTCAACGCCATACAATCCCCCTTATTGTATGAATGCCACCAACCATAAAATCATCAGAAGCCTCTGGTATCTTCGTACGCAGTTTGGGTAGTTATGGCCTGAAAAATCGACAACTAATACCTGAGGGTCTCTTAAATTCTCTATATTTTATATCGAGGTCAATGCGGTTTCATCACATCAACGAAATTGTGAGTCCTAGAAAGACTTTGATAAGACTCGTAATCCGCATAGAGGCAACGGACCATTAAACCATGTACATATGCCCTTTCGTAGGATCAATAAGAGGAACTTATCCTTGTTGGGTATAGAAAAACGTACACGAACCAACGGCATTCCGGTGGGGAAGACAACATACACAAGCTATTACGTATCCCACAAATGTATTGCGTAACTCCCTAGGTTAAAGGTTGTGTTAGATGTTCTTGTCATAGAGACTACTGCGGAATGTCTACAAATTATTGGCTGTAGACTCGCTAGAATGTGTCAATATATGCCAACATCGTATAAATAATATCGTTCTGTTATACTACCCCAGATACCACCTTGCCTACAAGGTACCTATCTAGGTGAGCAATCGAAATAACTTTATAAATACGCTCCTAGTTACCCAGTCTATATGAACTCTCCCATTGCTTTAGGATGTTTTATCCATCAAGCCTATTTACCGAACTCTTCCTGAATTAGTTACAATGCCCGACTACTTCGTTTCCTCGACAGAGGCAGAGAATAAGCGTTTAGAGCAGGCGTCTGCTGTGGTAAGAGCGTATATGGATGGAAATGTCTTCCTTGCCCCTATCGACACGGCGCGCAAAAACATTAAAGTGCTCGATAGTGCTACAAATAACGGTATGTTCTACTTAGGCGCTCTCAGCGGGAAATTCTAACGTTTCCAAATAGGGTTCTGGTTATTGCAGTTCCAAGCTTCTCTCAAAGATCCAAGCTCAGCTACACTAATTGGGACTGACCTTCAGGATCGTTTCCCGAATCCACCACAGCCAGGAATCAGCTTGCAGATTCAAGACATTAATAAGCCATGGCCAAAGTCGTGGAAGTCAACATTTGACTACGTACATCAAACTCTAGTGCTATTCCAGGCGGGTCCGAAGCAGCGCGAGGCCATTAACTCTCTCGGAGAGCTGGTGAAGCCCGGTGGTTGGATTGAGCTTATGGAACCTCAGTATGAAGCAACTAATGATAATGGGCCGGCCTATAAACAATTCCTTGATATGCTGGGCGAGCTGTGGGCTATGAGAGGCACGAAGAGCGGGTTTGCCGCTGACTTAGAGGGTATAGTCGAAGACGCTGGCTTTGTGGACGTCAAAAGTGTGCTGCTGCCTATTGGCATAGGTCCTAAGCATAAAGACCCGGGATTAGCCAGTGTCAGCGTCGAGAGTACCGTGGGTGGTGGCAAGAATATTACGATAGCTGGAAAATGTAAGTTTGTTCCTTGGTACTACGGCTACGATGAAGTTGACGAGATATTTTAGCCATCCCAGGAGGACTAAAGTCTATTTCTGCGGAGGATTTTGAGACCTGGCCAGCGCGCTTTGAAGAGGAGTTGAAGACGAAAGGAGCCTATATGCCCCTAAGGGTGGTGTACGGCAGAAAGCCTGAAGCCTAACTGGATTTAGAAATGTAAGGGGTCCAATGGAGGTATTGGCGAGCCATTGGATATGCTTCCCTGGACTTTGATTACTTCATTCGCTAGATAATAAAGGATTCTATCAACCTTCTTCGACATATATAATGTATGATATACGATTTATCTTTGCTTTAAAAAAAATGACTCAACTTACTACCTCTACAGAGTTTATTAAGATCAAGAATAGTAATGATTACGAGGGAAGAAGTAGGACGCATCTGCAATGCAATCAAACTGCCTGTAGTTTTTAGGGTTCGTCCATTTTCTACACGTAGAGAAAAATATCCCGGATCCTTCGCTGCTGATAATTGCAACATTTCGACGTTACCATCCTGCACTTAGTATCCATTGTGCTTTTATAGTATGGTGAGCGGTTCCAAACGCAACGACTATTCTAATTAGATTCGGCTGTATGCCTCAAATATTTATGTCTAAAACACCTAGTATCACAATTGATATGCGTTTGGTAGTATTCATAACCCTAGTTCTACTTTGGCTTAGTTAATGTACACGGAACTTTCAAAGGTAGGATGCGTAGGATTGAGTGAAATCGTGTGCTTTATTATTGCTGTTGTCTAAACTCCTGAGCAAGGGTTATATCGAGTAGAGATTTTTAGAAGGAGTTTTGATACAATATGACTCCTTCAGCTTTTTAACTATTGACACAAATTTTTCAATATAGGGGGGTTGGAGGTTCTTTCTAGCCTCGGGTGGAAATACTCTAATCGCACGAAGTATTTATGCCTCCTAAAACATGGGTAGTCCGATCCTTGCGCGTGCATTAATCTAGGATTATGAATAGATAATATACAATATTTGAGATGCGATGACCTCTGGTATAGCTACTCTTGAGGCATCCGACATCCTCTATCCCTATGCAGAATATACGTTGCTATTGACCTCCTTTCAACCCAAGCCCCTTTAAGTCCCAACAACCAACCCATCTCTGAGGCACCATATCTATCCCATAACGCCATAAGGCCCTTAAATTGCAAAGTCTTTAATAGACATATTATGAGAGCATATTCATCATAGCCCCTGGCCAGTCTAACCATCTATGCCACTTTTGGTCTAAGTGCAGTCGAATACTCTGAACTAGCAGCTGACCAGCATTTCTTATAATCCATACGTCTCGACAAAAGTGCAACGGTATGGCATAATATGCAAGTACGAGTAAAGCTTCCGGTTTCCTCTCCGATATGAGTCGAAGGAAATCGGCTTCGATTATTACGGGCCACGAGATCAGAGACAAGAATGGCGTTCCCAGAGAGGTACCTGTTTTCTTCGTATCGTCAGCTCTGCTCAGAAACCATTGGATCCTATCTAGGGCGTCTTTGCAGACAGTCTTCTCGTTGGCGTCCAATGCCGGTGAGTGCTGGATCCAGTTCTCCAGCTCAGTAGTATGGGACCCTGGGCCTGCTTCCTCGAAAATCCTAGTAGCCTCCCGCAGCACGAAGCCCATCTTCGACTCGAGCATCAGATGCCATGCTTCTTCAGTAACGGCGCGTACTCCTCGTTGCATCTGTAGATAGTGAATGAACTGATCTAAAAAGATATGCGGGTCTGTCGAGTCTGTGGTATCGCACAGCGTATGCAAGGTCATAAACCAAGTAAAAACTAACACCTCCAGGCAGTTTTCATTAGTGACGCCCGTCATCTCACGGTTGAATATGCTAAGCGCGTGAGTTTGCAAACCGACTGCGTGGTGTTTGTAGAACTGGGCTTTTGTAGGCTTGAGGTGAGCCAGATGAAGTGCGGCAAAAGCCAACATCTCATTCATTAGAAAAGGGGAGGACATGGCAGCTTCAACAATCATCTCTGGGGACGCTATCTTATTAGGATCTTCGGACGAAGGCGGCAGATCGAAATTGCTGTTAATACAATGATGAAAGAGTTCCATGTGTGTCATGTTAACATCCTGGATAATCGACGATTCACAATTCGAACTAATAGGAGAAGACGATTGAGAGGGTGCCGATGCATTCGATGAAGATCGGAGGAGGCCTGGGCTCGCAGACTCTGCTGGACGTCTAAGGCCAGGACCAGGGGGAAGAATCGGTTGCGAAGATAAAAACGAGCATTGTCTCGAACTAATTGTGCAGTTCCCGCATGCTGGCTGGTTCTCATCACACTGGTATCCTAGAGTTTAGAACTAGAATGCGGATCAAGGCTAAATGATTACCTTGATATGTCGGCGTTTACACTCGAGACAGCCCGTACGAGATTTTTGATGAGATCGACGAGGCATCTTTACTCCTTATAATTTTTTTTTATAATTTCTCGAGCTTCGAAAATCCGTCAACCGTTAACACTAGCCCATTACTAATTACCACATTGCTGTTTACGACAGCAAGAGACTTTATAAGATGAAGATTGTGGCGGAGTAACGTAGTAGTCGTGTTATTAGTCCCATCGAGTCAGGGGTAAGTGACCGACGAGCCCCACTTCGTCCTCCCGGCATCTATACAGCTCCAAGAGGATTTGTATAGCTTATAAGTGATGTCTAAATTCATATGAGTTAGATATTTACATATTTATGAGATGTATACTCTATGTGACATATAGAAATCAGAGACTTACCATATCGACAACACCAACGGAAGAAGGAATGCTGTAAACGTACCATGCCGATCTACGACCAAGGATCGTCTTTCACTTGGAAATCGGATAGTTCGGATCACCGAGCCTCACGTCGGAGGCCGAGGCCTCATCTTGATTTTGCCCCGCAAGATTGCCGTCCTAATTTATCCAGTGGGCCGCCTTAGAACGCTGGAGGTTATCCGGGTACCGCACAACGAGGAAAACCATAGCCACCAACACTTAAACTGAGTCGAAAAAATAGACTGTTCGTTCGTTACTAAGAAGACAGCCATCACGACCCGCAGCGGGTTCGATCACTCGAAAGATACTCCGGATCATAATAAGCGCGCTGACGCTATACAACAAGAGCATGCTGATCCTCCAGCACGTAGCGTCGTGCGCCGAAGCATCTATTTTGCCCTTTTTATATCTGGCCCCGAACGTCATATCTACGACGATAAAGAGGCCTAATATGATGATCTGAATAAATAGCCCTCCGCCGATAATCTTTTCGCCATGAGACCGGCCCCGCCGCCCTATACGCAGGAGGAAGCTACGTCGCCGAACACGAAGACTTTGGTTGTGATTTCAACATGGATAAGGCGGTAGGGCTCTCCGTTCATGGGTTAGATAACGCGCCCTAGTACCATGTATACTAATGCGGCAAAGAGAGCGGGCAGTAGTAAAACCACCATTTCCTGAATGAGATGAGGAGTAAGGTCGCCGGTTCGAGAGTTTGATACCTCGCAGGCACAATAACCTATGACTTCCACGTTACGGCTGTTAGAGGAGACGGTATCAAGTCGTCTAGGACGGGATAATTTTGCTTTACAACTTACTGATACACCCAGTCACAAACGGCAAGCAGAACTGGAGCTTTGTCTGAAATAAACGGTAGCAGTGAATGCCGGCGATAATGGTGAAAAAGATGACGATGATGGCTGTCACTGGCAAGGGGATGTATTACCATAGGCAGTACTCACAGACGTACAGTTCGAGTTTAGCCATAGTAGACTTTAAAGAAACGTTCCTTTATTCTAGAACGCTTTCTAGATATTCAGCACCTGCGAAGTGTGTACAATGAATATCTCAATATAGCCAAGACAAGATACAGAAAGCATGGTGTTCTTACAGAGCAGCGGGGCTTCTATATAAACCAACCACTTTAAGACTACCATCGTCTACCTGCTCGTAGGAGCCTTTATACATGGCATGCAGGTAGATATCTTATTTATATATTCAGAGATCAACTAATAAGAAGACGTTCTATACGCGGATACGTTCTCATCAGACTAAACGTGGACATCCCTTTCCCTTTATTCTCCCCTCTGCCTTAGTACTATCTTAGGCCTACTGAAAAAGAAAATTCATGGAACCGTCCAGCCAATGAAAACTCGAGCTCTATGCGGAAAGGATACCGGAACAATGATTTACCACTCTGAGCTGACTTCCCCGTTATACGACACCATCTTTCCGCCATGCTTTGCTTTCGTGGATACCGCAAGCATACGCATCATACCGTCGCAGGACTCGTCGACTCCTAGCGGGGCCTGCTCAACCCCTAGGCCGCGTGCGCCCGCATTCCCGAGCTCGGTCTGGACCCAGCCGGGGCCCGTAACGAAGGCGTTGAGCCAGTCGTCCTCGGCGTTGATTCGGACGGTGAACCAGTGCAGCGCTGCCTTCGATGGCCCGTACGCCGCGTTAGGAATGGGGGGTTGATTCCTGTTTGCGGCTGGTGTTAGCATCTAAGAATGCCATGCCTATAACATCCACGCAAGTTTTATGTTCATTTCCGCTTTCTGCAAAGGAGGACTGGCTCACCCTATAAATCCGGCTGAGGACCCGATGGGTGTAAAGATGGGCTCGCGGGAAGACTTCTGCAGGAGTGGGCGCGTGGCCTGGTATAGAGTTACGACGCCATAAACGTTAGGTTCAATATGCGCTCGGAGATCGTCAATCTTGACGTCTTTGACAGCCGGCCAGACGAACGAGACGCCGGCGTTAGCGATGACAATATCGAGGTGATCGATCCTGTGCGACTCCTGGAGAGTCTTAACAGCGTCAAAAGCATCCTGCTCGACCGTGGCGTCAAGTTTAACAACGATCAAGCTACTCCCCTCCCCCTTAGGTAGATCGGCGAGCGCTTTCGACGTCGGATGCCTTGGGTTCCGGTTGGCAGCGATTACGATGTGGTTCGGCTGTGCCAAGTAACGCTTAGCCAGGCCTTCGCCTAGACCCCGATTCGCACCTGAAATAAGAACGATAGTCTGTGCCATAATGAATTGATGTAAATCTACTTGAGAGGAATGATGCCGCATTGATTTTGTAGGGAAGAATGCTGGTTTTTAACTATGTCGATGAAGTTGGTGATATTACGCACCAAACCTACCGACCCGGACAGAATAACAATCCGTGCTGAGCAATCGTTCCCGACAGCATTGTAAATCCGAATTAGTATTTATAATCCAATTCTAATGAATATTTTGGTATCTACTTACGTTGTGGGGTTATATGATACCTAGTAAGTAATGGCTATACGCCGTGTAAGATGTTTTAAATAGTATTCCTATGGTTACTACACAACTTCCTGCTGAACCTTAAACGTCTCGGCTCTCTCTCCTTTTTATAACTAGGGCCTGCGTATTTAGAGGTAGACAATCGCTGTCAAGCTACCTCCTATGGATTTGATGAAAACCCACTCTTACCAGGTGGGTAAGGTGTCGTCCAGATCATATGCACGGCATCGCCCCCAAGACTAGGTAGCTACGGAAAGCCTTCATATGTAAGTCCCTCGATTTCATCTTTAGGTATGACGAAGGGCGATATAGCTATTACTTGTATAAGTAACCCACATACGCAACCTCACTAAGTGCAGACCTAGAAGGCGTCGGACTATTCGTCAGCCTAAATTAATACATGATGACTGTATTATTTTTGATTCCCTCCTGGCTGTTGCTCCTTGACTGATTCTTCTCCTAGCACCTTGCTCGCAGCCATGAACCTATTATTAGCCAAGCAAATTAGTGTCATTTTCATACACCATCGCTCAGTTTTTCATTTCATGAGAGACTTGATATAAAGATAAAAATAAAAGAGAACACAGGAGAAGAAGAAATGAGACAAAATGATAGACTCACAACCCACCATGCCAACTTCCTAGACCTCTCATAGCCTCTGCTTGTACGCTCGTCATGCGCAGGAGGTTCTCCGTATCCGCCAAATTTGCTGAGAGTTGTGCTAGTTGCGAATGGAGATGCGTCTGCTCATAATACATTAGCATTGCTATTCTAGAACGATTGCGATATAACATACCAGTTGCCGCGTTTTGACCACGCCGCCGGAGCTAGAACTCTGTGGTGCCATGGAAGGTCTCGCCGCCGCGGACCCTGAGCCTTGCATAATGATTGTACGATCTGCGTTTCCGCCTCTAGAAGTCATATCGGCGTCTTTTGTTATATTGCGTTGCTTGTATCGATCAAATAGCAACTCGTGCGAAAAGTGGGTGGGGGAATTAGGAGAGGTACATATGTTAAGTACCTGACAAAGATGGAAGATCTAGATGTTACCTAGGTAGGTTCAATGTTGTATCTATAGGTTTGTCATCAAATGATACATGTAGACTGCACCTGCAATAAAGTCAATTCTGTCTCTAGGTATTTGCTCCCCTTTTCCCCCCACATCAAATAACGCGTCTGGTTACGCGTGATTTAAAGTTATGCGGGGTGTCTTGTGGCGCTGCTATTTTCAGAGCTTATAAAAGTGGTCCATGCCCATGCGATCCCGACGTTACGGTGATAGCGGACCCCTGAGCTAAAAAGAGCTGTACAATACATAGCCCTATTCTACCTGTTTTGCTGCATATCACAGAATATCACAGAAGGGTACGACAGTAACATTTAAGTGTATATGTGTATATGTAGTATGTAAGCCCGCTTGACGACGTCATTTACTGGGATTTTATATTTGACATTAGAAATTTGACATTAGAATAATTAGAATAGAATTATAGTCTTATGAACCAAGTCCACTCCACGTCGCTATTGACTTTTCGAATTTGCAATGTCGCGAATAATCGGTCCTTGTTAATTAAGCCTAGCTCCTAAGAGTCGCATCACATTACGATGGCCCTTGTCTAATTCTTGACACGGCCTTCTCGACCTTCACTATTTCTTTCTCATCTTCACTGACAACTCCGAGGCCTGTCCCATTTCCAGGCCCGCGCCTTGCCAGTCTTTACAATATTAAAATCCAGACAGAAACCGACAAATAAAAGAGAGAGCAAGTCCTTTGTGTGTAATGTATGGTCATAATACCAACGCCTTCTTCTCCCGACCCGAATTGCACCAGTATCCCTCCCATGCGACTTGAACGACCGACCCGATAGGATAATCGACTTAGACTATACGTATCTGTTCCGCAAACGGCTTTAATACTAGAAAGGTCGTCGGTCTTAATTGCGCGTCGTCAAAGGGGTTAGTCGAGCCACGATATATCAAGGCCAAGCAGATGAGCACTCAAGGGCAGCAGACGGGAGTTCTATATGCATTCCCATTATGTCTTTTTTAACCCAGCCAATGTCCGCCATGCACCTTCAAAGCTTTTCTCCGTGTCTTCGAGGCTATTAACACTTCCGGGATGAGCTAAAACGTGGTGGGGGGAGAAGTGTAAAGACGCTGGGTATCGGGTCGGCGAGTGAATGCTGGGAAGTCATTGCATAGGGAGGAAAATGGATAGAAATATATGTGTTCCGAAAGGTGACAGACCCCGCATCCCAATGCAATATTACCGAAGAT